TTGGTGACATCTCCTCAAAATGGAATCTAGACTGGTTATAAAACGAAGTCTCCTTTAGCAATGGACAGCCTGACAAACCGACAATATGGAGTAGCTTAGAGGAAATAGAACATGTCCTGAGCTCAACATGCTTCTGAGAAGCTCCTGTAGGGCAGAGGCTGGAGTGACTCCTATGCACTTGAAGGTCAGTTCAAGGAGCTCTATGCAGGGCAGTTACAGGGCTGGTTCAGAGAAGCTGTATGTGGATTCTGTGGATTTCTCTCAGTTGTCCTGTAGCTGGATGAGCAGACAGTTGTCACAGTCAGTTTCACATTCAGCTAATGCTCAAAGAGAGACAAACTCAATGCAAAGAGAAGCCAATTTTGAGTAAAGATACTTTTCACCTTGGTCCTTTCAATCCTGTTTTTAAAATGTATTGTTCCCATTTGTTTCTGAGTTATGTGACAGGCTTGTGAATATTTGTGATGGGGGGGGGTACCAATGTGTATCCCTGACTGTGAGAGACCAGTATTGTGGGGATTTAACAAGGCAACTCCATGTAGTTAAAAGGTGGTTTATTTTGGGGTAACTTAGAGCCACTAAAAGGGGTTGGTTACAGGATCTGGGAGAGGTGAGGTGTAGTCCAAAAGGGTTCTCTGCAGAACTCTGACTTTCAGCATCCAGGATCACAAGGAAACAAAAGGGCTGGCCCATATAGATCTTCTGTGTTAAGGGCTCCCAACTCAGCCCAGACCCATGGTCAGGTCATAGGTAGGAGTGGTAGTTACCAGAAGCCTCACGAGAGGTAGTGCTTCTAGGTCAAAGCTGGAACAGCTGTCCCCTAAAGACCAGCGTCATAATCATGCAGGGTAATAAAAATCAATGCCTCCAGTGGGCATTGGTGGTGCACATGCCTTTAATCCCAGGACTCTGGAGGCAGAGGCAGGCAGATCTTTGTGAGTTCAAGGCCAGCTTGGTCTACAGAGGGAGATTCAGGAAAGGTGCAAAGATACACACAGAAACCCTGTCTCGAAAAACATAAACAAAAATAAAAGTAATGACTCAGAGTAGTGAGGGATAGAAAATTTTTTTTTTATCTGGGGGACATTAGAACAAAATTTTAATCTATGACTGCTGAAATAAGGAAACACACATGCCTTCTGATGATAACTTTCTCTTTTACTTCATCTTAAGAAATGGTCTCTGACTCTTTCTGTCTCCACACTGCTACATATCTCCACAATACTGCACACAGCCACATGTCTTTACATACATACATATTTCACATGG